AATAGATAATTAAATAGTTATAATGTAATAAAAAAATATTCATTAAATTACCTTCTTCTAAATATATAGCATAATGATTAAGAATTAAGGCTTCACTTAAACGTATTATATTGTCCTTGATATTAAAATAAAATTCACCATAATGTTTACCATATTGATCTGATGCTAAATAATCAAAATAAATTGCATCTGCCAAACTTATCAATCCTCTTGTATACTCAATTGCTGACATGTCCCACTCTTTTGAAATTCTTTACACATATACAAATATTATTAATTTATAGTTATATAAATACATTACTATTGATTATTAAATTTCAATATAAACATACTCCAGAATCTCTTTATGCACAGAAGAATCATACTTCATTACAACAGGTAAAACATTATATAAACCAACAGTAAAACTTAAATCTTCTTCCAAAATTAAATCTATTGCACAAATGATAAAATCTTCCCTTTGTAGTGTAATAGAAATACCATAATCTCTCAAAAGAATATTATAAGTATTTTTTAAATTTCCAATACCGCTAATATATCCACGACATAACCATCCAGGGAGATCAATTGCTATATCTGATTTATTATGTACTATAACTATCTAAAAAGTATATATGATAGTTAAAATTAACTTTTTAATAATAATTGTAAGTACAATGTTTAATGATAATATTTGATAAGTATAAATAGTTACATGTAATTCATTAACATGTTCACTGCAATAGCTTTTTTTGAGGATTTTCCTACTTGGCATTATAGGAAAAACAAGTTCTGTATGTTTTTTTGTTATATTTTGTTATTTTAACCTACAAAGGTTTGATTGATGCTTACTATGGTGAAAATAGTAGAAAAATGATGGAAATATCAATTTAGTATGTAGCTAATGTTCATGCATGACAATACAAGGTATATATGCCCCATACCACAGTGAACATGTTAATACATTTTATTCTAAAAAAATCAATTAATACTACTACAATACAAGATTTGCACTTATATTGTATTCTGATCTTACATCTCCAATATTTGGTTCTGCACGTGTTTTAATACTATTAAACGTTCCTCTTTTTGTTAATAATTGCTTATTAATAAGATTTAATTTTTCATCATAATGTTTCAGCTCATAAATTCTTATAATATATGGTGTTAAAATATTTGTTACTCTAATTGTTGTTGCTGTAGAAGGTAACATGATGGCTGTAAGTAAACTATTATTAATTTAATACAGTAAATATAATAAAACATTTTAAGTTTAACATAACTTCAATTATTTTGACCAAATGTGATACAATTTGATATAAACAAACGGTAATAAATAAACATTTTCTCATATATATAAGTAGTACAAATAGAAACAAACAGGTTACAGAAAGATTTTAACATAAAAACTAACCTTCAACATTAAAATTTGAATTTTTCACTTTTTTTAATATTTAAATGCAATCGTATCGCTGCAAAAATATTATATTAAATACATTACTTTTGTTTATATCACTTCACAATACTAACTGCTTGATTCAGTGCATGTTTTATGCATTATAATGAGTCATATAAATTAATTTTAAAAAGTTATAATATTTTCCTTTATATATTTCAATAAACAGCGAAAAATATGAAAAAATGCTTTTGCGTAGAGATACTTATGCACATTATTTACTATATAGTATGTATATACATCACAAATTTATACTGACTTTAACAGTTGAATACAAGTAAATACTTCATAGCAAACAATAAAGGTAAGGTGTGTTCCAGTAT